AGCCAATTTCATCAAGAAGCACAAACCATAATAATTCTTGGTGATTTATGCAGTCACAGCATTATTTTAACCTTGAAAAAGTTAGCCAAGTTTCAATCCATGATCATCTTTGTCATACATAGCAAGAGGTGATGGGAAACAGTGCCAATGCCTCAATTAAGTTTTAAATAACAGAACTGGACCATTATTTTTGGAACTTAATTTAAGCCAGGACACTTTTAAGCCTCTCAAAGAACAAAATATAGCATAGCATAACCTAGCCCTTTTAAAGCAATATAAAATGCCTTTCTGGAAAAGATGTTCACAAAGTTCTAATAATTATTATTGTTATAAATGATTATGCGTTACTGACCAACATTCAGTCAAGATGCCTGGATATTGGCCAGGCTCTTTTTTTTTTAAGGCCAATACCCAGCTATCTTCACCGAACAAGCTTGATTGGTTTGCCCACTTGAGTAGCCAATTAGAACACAGGATTTGCTTCACCTTGCCCGCTCACGGATTCAACCATAAAATTGTAATGAATAATTATGCTTTATTGACCGGGTGTGAGGTTAAGATGGCTGGATATTTGCGTCTTTATTGACCCTGCCTTCCCTTGCAAGGTTGTGCTCTAAGAAAAATTGAAGGCAGCACAGCACTCTGAACTTGTGAAATCCAGTGTGCCCAGCAAATGATTTCTATGAAAAAGCAAAGATTTTCTAGTCGCCTGAGAACAAAAGTTACAGATGTAGGCTAACGGGCCACAGAGCACAGCCTGCTCTTGGTCAATAAAAATACAAAAATGAATGAGGTCAATATTCAGCCATCTTGAATGAACAACCGTGGTCAATAAATGAATTATTACATGGCCAAGAAGAGAACTTTTACTTGCGGGACCAACGCAGGAAATCCCAAGTGGGCAAAATGGGCTCACCTTGCCCCCTTGGGTAGCCAATTAGAATGCAAGGTTTGCTTCACCTTGCCCACTCGAGGTAGCAGTTGAACATTTTTTGTCTTTAGCATAGAAGTAGTATTTCAAGATTAACATTTGCAGAACTTGACTAAGCATAAAGCACAGTAACTTGAGACTGAAATTAAGTTCCATGAACCAGCCTGCTTTGAGAGAACGTTCTGCACCAACATCACATACCAAGGTGATCTGCCTGGCCTGTTGTATGAAAAACAAAACAAAGTGCTAATAAGTAAAACACAGAAGCTATTCCCCAGGCTATCGGGGGAGGGGGGGGGGGGAGGGAAAACCTTTTAGCAGTAAGACAACTTTACTAATGTAGATTACTAATTCTCATACGAATAAAAAATACTAAATGAGTAATATACATATAATTTACTGGCCGCTTATTATTTTTGACAACTCAGCTGTCTACTTCAAAACTTTCTGACAACCCTGATTCATCACATTACAATAATTTTACATGCATACAGTTGTGTTTCATAGTAATAGCTAGTACATTACGTTGCCCGCAACCTGCAACGTTAAGACTATGGACCAGGGGTTACATGTACATGTAAATGTAAACAGAGGCTGTCTATGATTACCAGTACCAGCAACAAAAAGCCTACTTTTCAAGGGCACAACCTCCCTCAGGTTGTACATTATCATCTACACGTACAGGGTCAATACCAGGCGAAGCAGGGGAAAGTAACAAGGTCTGGGTGCAAGAAATGATGTTCTCACAACTTGTAAAGCGATAACCCTGGTGGGCAGCAGATAATTTACTGCAGTAAATGTATACTTCCGGTTTACAATGTATTACGCAAAACAAAGTTCCCATCAAACTCCCCCGAACAAAACAGTTTGGCCATCAAACAATATCAAACCAGCTTTCTGGAGAGTTTGATGCCTGAACAAAATCGAAACAAACCAAATTATATTGGAAAAAAATAAAATGTGAAAACTGAGTCAACTCAACAAGCCAGGGAAATCTGACAAGTGCTGGATTCAGAATATGCTACAATATTATTGAGGCCCACTAAGGAGTGAAGAGTAATAACTGAGATGATTCCTAAGATGATTTCAACTTGCAGATTTAAAGACTTTTTCCTTGGTAAACAAAATGTTTATTTTAGAATTTAACTCTGAAATGGAAATAATAAAAGAAGCAGGATCTTACATCGCCTTGACTGCTTTCACACTAGATAAATAATTAACACACTTGTCATCAATTGCTTGGAACTGAAACGCTTGTTTTTGTTCCATTCGAGTGTTCCTTATGTGAGTTCCACTTTGTTTGATAACCCAACTCAATGTTTGACTGACTTCAAAAATCAAATGATCTATTCAATTTTTTTTTGTGAGTGGGTTTTGTTGAATGGCTGAGCTGCATCAAACTCTTTCATTCGAAAGAGTTTGATCTAGCTTGAAAGCCAAACATTCAATGTGATATGCTGGATATACATGTACATGTGTTTCCTAAAGTAAATATTTTAGCAGTGAGAGGCGAACCAACAGAGAAAATAAGTCAATAATTGACAAAAATATCATGCCTCTTTGTTTTTCTCACATGTTGTAATTGTTTCTTGGTATTGAAGATGCAAGGGAAACTAAAAAAAATGTGACAGTCACCGCAACCATGTAACATCTTAACTGACAACAATGTATGCTGAGCTATGAGTGTGGATATTCAAGGAATGATCAGTAAACAAATCTGCTTGTTGCCTTGCAAGTTGTGGGAACATTGTTTGGATTTCAAGAGAACATATTTAAGGAGTACCCTCCTTCCCCCTGGTCAATATGATGTTTTCATAGAACTGCAGGGTAATACAGGATAAATAAAAGTGGTTTTACTAGTTTAACTCCACTGCTGGTTTTGCTGTCCACTGAAATGAAGACTTAGGGCGCTTTCCATTTGTCAGAACTGACCGGCCAAACCATTCCCAACGCAATGAGAATTTCCATTTTAATCAAATCTCTCCAGCCAGATCAGTCAAATCCTAAGTAGTATGCACCAAGGAAATGGTTGTTCAGCAAAAACTCTTGGCAAAAGCGTATTTCAATATCAAACCGACTGGTTGGACAATGGTCCGGCCGGCCAGTTCCGACAAATGGAAAGCGCTCTTAAAGTCTGGATCACTCTGTTACAGTCGATTTCACATTATTTACCACACCATGTTGCAAAGTTCGTTGGAAAATTGGGTACTACATCATGAAGTAGCCAATTACTTAGCAAGTTAGGGAATCAAATTGCGAACTTCCAGACATAGTTGTCAACTACGACTGAGCTTCACAAGTTTGCTCAACAGTAACTTCACTTTCCAGTTGTTTTAATCACCGAGTTCTCGTCAAAGAAGTACCTATTCCTGGGATCACAGTTACTGAAAAAAAATATATGCTTCAACTTTTTCTTGAGCGTTCTCAGTCAAGCATTATTATATTATTAGATTAGGCTCTCTTTTGGAACTATTGTCAACTCTTTGCAAGAGTAACCGAAATCACGTGTCAATACATGACTTATCGAACCTTTGCGGGTCAACAACCTGATTTTCGATTAAATGTTTTTGTATTTCCGTAGCATACATACTTGGTCGTCGCTGTTTAAAAAACTCTGTGTAGGGGCTTCCTGGACATATGAAACGATCAACAATATTTGTTACCGTCCTTCTCAGTAAATTAAACTGGTGCACTATTTGGGATGGTTTCAAACCCCAGTGATTTTGTTACCTCTGCATCTTGTGTCCCTCACACAAAAAATTATCCAAAGACGCAAAATAATTCATGGCATGCATCCCGTAGGATGCAAAGGATGATCGATCGATTTGAAGATTTGTTGGTAGAATATCCTGTTTGTGCTGTTGTTTAAAGATGTATATAATTATTTTAGTCTTTTTGTGCTTTAAATATATAGGACTATATTTTCATTTTAGTAAGCTGTCATAAAAAGTCTTGGCATCTGTCTCCAGATTAACTGTCTGGTTAAAAGGCCCATACCAAGCATTTTCAATTAAGGACTCCCTGTTTTTTAACTGGGACTCACTGGTTGTGCATGTGGACAGGCCAGAACTCTTGACTATTCACAAAATGAGTCCCAGGACTCACCATGCATATACTATTTGTAACAAAATCACTGGAACCCTCTAACCATTTTTCTACAATCATTTCACAGACCTCACAGTGCAGCGCCTTGCCTTGTTTAGTAAGAGGATTCAGGTTCATTATGTTGCAGTTTCCTGCTCGGGAAATTACTGTACTTATCAATCACAGCTTTGTGTCAACAAATATGTCTCCCAAGCATTATCTCAAATGCTACAGACTACAAAAATGAAATATGGAAAACTGTTAAGCTTACCTCGTCTTACTATCGGTATTCCATCACAATCCTCCGTCTTGGATAGCCTTAGCACGGTAAAACACTCCAACTTTCAAACTATACTTGCGCATCACGAGGTTTTTGTCTCACATTCTGCTCCATTGTGTCAGAAAAGAGTCGCTTTACGAGGAAAGCGATCGATTACTGAAGGCCGATGGGTCGCTAAATATACATAACAACCCTTAGATGTCTTGTGGTATCATCAGAAAGCAAAAATATACCGATTCCACGCTCCTAGAACCTATAGAAGCTGGCAAATTTGAAGCCGTTGAAATCACTTTCAAAATGGACGCCAAAAAGAATGACCGTAATGAGCATGAGCAAAGGAAAAGTCCGCTGACCAGCACCCCGCTCTGTTCTAGGCCCCATTCTCTCTTGTTTTCTCTGTCGTTTTCTCCGTCTAAGAGCATTTTAGTTTTACGCCAGTACTAGTACTGATTAACATCAATCTGGCAAATATTGAAAGCTGTTGGTAAGCTCTGCGATTTTTACCACTTAGAATGGAAAGCAATGGCAACCTCGCACACTTCACAGTCTTTGTATCAATGCAACGCGCGCGAGTAATGCATGAGAACCGTTTAATCTCGAGAGTAAATTTACCTTTATTCACCTTGATTGTACGCCAAGGCAAAGTTTACGAAACATTGATCATGCGATCTTGGACATGGGTTAAAAAAAAGAAAAAAATTCGTCACCTGAAACGTAACGGAAACAAGAAAGAACGGAAATGTGATGACAGAAATGTGGCGGAAACATGATCGTTCGTTTCCGACGCGGAAACTTGGCGGGAACGCGTCCCGTCCATGGAAAACTAGATCACCATGTTTCCGCAGGGCGGAAACGTGACGGATATAAGCAACTTCCCGTTTCCGTTTACAAAATACGTTACAAAATACGGAAACACGTTATTTCGTCCTGTGTTCAATGATTTTCAAAAATACAAATCAAGCAAAGTTAACGATGCATGTAAAATTATATATACAGCTATTTCGAGAAAGGTTGTCGGCAAAGATGTGCACGGGACGATCCCAAAAGGTAACATGGGATATGATTAATACACTGTTCAAGACACTGTAGCTGTCAAGACTTCTTTTGTTGCTTTCCTTTAGCACACGCAAACATACGTCAAGAGCCATTGCATACGTCCATGGCCTCTCGTGCCATTCTTTTAAATTTCTTTGAAGAACAGCGAACTCAAAACCACTTTTTCCGACAACCTTTCTCGAAATAGCTGTAAATATACCAAAAAGGTCCTGAGACTGTAAATGAACAATAAAATCTTTTATACAAACAGTCATTATTATTCACAAAATACTCGAATCCCATTTCACACTCTTGTTACACGATGTCTTATAATTGATGCAGCCACACTATCAAGCTGTACTACAGGTTTCTGGAGCACATCTATTAGATATGAAATTGTCTTTCCTTGGCTTCCTAACTTTTCAAGCAACAGCTTTGTCGGACTTCCGTTTGGCCTCTGATACTCAGTCTTGTAGAACTTAAGCTCATGTCCTGAGATTCCTGCCGCGTTTCCCACTTTTACCCAGCCATACTCATTGTTGTCAGATCTGCCGTGTGGTACATCCAGCCTCTTCACTAAAATATCTTCTAGGTCTGGGGGAATTTCACCTAAGTTGAGGTCTAGGAAGAAACATATTTCGTTTATGTCAAGGCCTTTTATTCTAGTCGTTAGAGCCGAAATGCTGACAGGCAATTTAACATCGTTAACCGATATATGAGTTGGTTAATTTTAGAGGACACTAAGCTTCACTGACTATTATAGAGCGTTTTCACTCATGTGGCCAGCATCTATGCAAACTTATTGAAACAAAAGAAATCTTTGCATAAAAAGGGAGTTCAACTCTCACAGGATTGGTTTGGTACATCAACGTGGCCGCCATTTCATTGTTTTGTAGCCTGCGTCGCAGGCGCAAAAAGGGGAGGGAGAGGGGGAGGGACCCCTTTCGACGCCTGCTACGCAGGCTATTGTTTTGGAACACCAATATGGCCGCCGTGACGTCATGTGAAAACGCTCTATTTTCCTTTGAAATTGAGCCGTGAACGAACGAATTAGAACGTGACACTTTTTTGTTTGACAAGTAAGAAAATACTGAAAATGTAGCTAGAAAGTATTTGGATTTAGACTTTTATAAGGCTTTGAATCTCACCATCCTCAATCTGGCCATTTTCATCCGCCTGCTCAAAAGTGGTTTCTTCTGTTAAGCTTAACCTCTCGTCTTGGTTAGATTCCTCATCGAACTGATCATCTGTCATTTGTGATAAATGTAACATGGTTCGTACAACTTACTTCAGACAAACAATTTCAAGGACTTTTCAAGGATTTTTCAAGGACAATTACAGTTTTCAAGGCCTAAGATTTATGTAAATAATCGGCATTCTTTAACCCCCTTTTTGATCACTTATTGGCTAAAACATGTCACAGAGTCATTTACGATTTTTACTTCTGTGGCCATTGTTGATCACATTATTTTATCCTACTTTCCGCAACAACACTTTCCAAAATGACTAGGTATGACTTGCAGTTGCATCTGAGGTACAGAACAGCATTTGGAATAAAGAATCAGAAATAAAACATTGTTCATGCACAGGATGCGGTGGTGCGGATCCGCATAATTCACTAAAATCCGCATCTTCCAAATGAAATTGAAAAAATTGCCCATTATAAGCGATAAATGAGGACATTACTTTCGCTCAAGAGATAAAAGTCCAAGAAGTTTGTTTTTTGAAGCTGCTTTTTCTGAGTGAAACATCAATGAAAACACGCCAATTTCGCTCGTAGTAAGAAACGTTTGAGAACGTTTTTCGCGACGACCCTGGGAACTAGTTCTGTTCTTACTCAGATTGCCATTGGATAGAATCATAAGCATTTTAGCCAATGGCAATAATTGTTAAGAAACCGGCTTTGTTGACTGAAGTTCACGGGAAAACTAGAACGCTTTTTCTTGTTTTCTTTGCTACGACATTCTAGTGTTCTTTAAAAGCCACGTAATTACATAAAATACCTTTAACACTTAAGTGGCCCAATAACCACTTTTATAATAAAGAATTATTGTTTAAACTTCCGCATAATTCAGAGGTTTTTCCGCATAATCAGCGCTTCTTTCTGCATAATATGGCCTTAAATTAACGCATAATTTTCGATTTTTTTTCCGCATCCTGTCAGATGCCCTGCCATGAGTTTTACACGTTCCTACAACCGAGAATGAGCCAAATTTTCCTTGGCAAAACAATCTTATTTTACAGAAAATGGTGGCTGGCGTAGACGAGGTAGTGAATTTCAAGGCCTTTTCAAGACCTAATAAAGAAATCAAGTATTTTTCAAGGAACTTGACTTAATTCAAGGACTTTTCAAGACGACTAACTAAATTTCAAGACCTTTTCAAGATTGTACGAACCATGCATGTGTAAGGAGTGGGTTAGTAATCAGTACTGGGTTTCCACTAGGATGCTCAACTTAAATGCAGAGCGTTCCCTGCCGTTTTCCACAAACCTGCAAATAGAATTCTAATGAAAATGCACGATGTATACGTACTTTGGGTGAAAGAATATAAGTATTTGAATTTCTTCCTAACCTTTCTCAAATTATAAATATTAAATCTAGTATGGAACGCTAATGCCGTGTATGTTTCGCTGAACTGAATGGATGAACCGGTTGACAGGGGTTTTATGATAATTGTTGAATGAAATTGACAATTGCTTATAAAACGTAACAACTGAGAGCAGGGGCGGATCTAGGGGGAGGGTGCAGGGGGTGCGCACTCCCCCCCCGGGATGACCTGCGGCCGCTTTCTAATTAACACTGTGCAGTCGCTTCACAGTCATACAAAATCTGCTCTATCGTTTGATATGTATTCTTAGCAGTTCACATTATGTTAGTTCCTAGTCAAAAGCCCTCTTCTTCGTATTCGCTTTTAAAATTTCTTACGTCATCAGTCAGTTAGTGGTGCACCCCCTCCTAAGAAAAATCCTGGATCCGCCCCTGGAGAGTTTGTATCAATCAAGAAATACCTCCAATTTTTTGTCCAGTAGGTTCTTCTTTTTCACTCATCTTCCTGTACCCTTTTTGTTTAACACAGCCTTTTCCAATGAGGTATATGATGAGACCTATTAAACCAAATACACACAAGGCAGCACTTGTTCCCAAGAAACTGTTGAGAAAAGAAGTAGTGCTTGGAACAGAAGACTGCTGTATTGCTGTTGTTAACGTTGGAGCTATTTTGGTCGAAGTCGGTGGAGGCATCATCCTAGAATCTTGCACTGTCAGTGGAGTAACACTTGGTGGAAGAATTGCGGGGACACGGCGTTTGCTTTTTGAAGAAGTATCTTTCTTAAAAGTTTCGATATTACTGTCAGATGCCGTAGGAGGAGGTACTTGAGCCTCGAATGTTGACACAATTTGTTCTCCTTGCTCATTCTTTACAAACCCGCTAGCACCTAGAATTTTTGAACTCGGGATGTCAATTTTTTCTTGTCCACCTTCAGGAACGTTTGTAGGACTTTGTAGAGGCTGAAAACCCGCGAGTTCTTTCTCATCGACATCCTTATCTAGAACTGAACCAGACAAGGCATACTTTGTTTCACTGGAAGTAGTGCCCATGTAATTCTCTTGATAAATGTCCCTTCTAGGTCTCTCTGAATACGTTGGTTCTTCAGGTCGCTTATTCGCATCTTGACTGACTCTTTGTCGCCTGGTAAGTTTTGGCCTTTTACTGAAAGGGCTTCTCAATTTTCTGGCGACTAATTTATTAAACATTGAACTGTGGTATTTTATTGGTGTCGACTGAGAACAATTTCCAGGGCATGTCCTTGAGTTAAAACAATCCTTTTGTGCAACAGAATTTTCTTCGCAGCAAAAAGAGCAAGGTTTACAAGTGTTGGTCGTCTCATCCTCATATTGCATGGGGGGACACTCCCGGCACTTTGCGTTGGTTTCTGTATTACACGAACTCAGGACCTCTTTTGAGCCACAGTGAGTGCAGGCTTTACACGTGGCGCTATCGGCTTCCTCTGAGTAGGTACCTGCCTTGCATGGTACGCAATCGCCAGTTGCTGTGCGAACCAGTGTGGAACCACATGTTGGTGAAGGCTCCATTCCCGAAGGACATGTCGGACATGCCGTGCACCTGACTCTATTCCTGTTGTCATCAATAGTGTAGGTATCTGGGGGACACTTCTCAAGTCCATCTGGATAGAACACTTCGCTGTCTTGTTCCAGATTTTCCCATAGGAACTTCGTCTGTATATATGGAAAAGATGCATAATATATTGTTAGCACATGCTTCTTCGCTGTCCGTCTTTTCTTAAACCGGGTATTATTATGAAAACAGATTTCTGACAAGGTTAATCAACCTCATGGCTGATCATGATTTGGTACATTTTGTTGTTTACTAAGTCACTGTGACAGGATCAAGGATAAATCGTCAATGGGTGAAATTTATTCTTGGTAGACAACTTAACAGCTTTGGTTAATCTTGTGTTCAATATGTTTTAAATTGTCTAATTATGTCCCAACCATGAGGGTAAACTATAATTAAAACCTAAAAACTTAAACGTTTGTGGGTTTTAATTATAGTTTACCCTCATGGTTGGGACATAATTAGACAATTTCACAACTCTTATAGTGAGGTTGCCTCATAAATCGTAAGACACTGTAAGTAAGAATGTTCTTTGTACATAGCTATCTTTACTGTCCCGCTAATTATTGATAATGAAAGCAAAAATTATGTTTATTTGCTGAAGAGTATAATTTTTACCGCAGCTGTTAGTCCTTGATTAAAAATAGTAATTGCTCTGTATATAAATCCTGGAAACGATTTCGCTACGCAGTCCATTTTGTAGGTACTTATTTGACCTACTTGTCCTACTCACGACAAACTGAGATTGTCCAACGAGAATAAGGCCCGGTTCAGACGCCGTTCTTTTCGTGAACCGAGCCTCATACATTGAATTAAGTACATGAAAAGTTCAGTGTACAGGGGCACCAAACGGCAATTTTCGGGAAAATATCTGTTCGGAAGACGATTTGAGATCTAGAATTTTCGGAGCATTTGTTGAAAAATTTCTTGCTTGCCTGCCTCTCCTAGGATTTTCGAACATCTACAAAATGGTATAATTACCCATTTTTAACGGATTTTGACCTTAAAAAAGGCCACCTAGAATTTTCGGGAGCCTTTTCCTGGCTGAAATTTTCGAGAAGGTAAGTTTTGATCCCTATAATTTTCGGATCACTAGACTTTCAGCTAGGAAATCCGGACAGATGGAAAGTTTTTAGGGGATAAAAATATGCCTATATCTACCGTTTGAATACTAAAATACGTTCAACAATGCTATGTTAAGTGGTTTTGAGCTATATCCTCGTTGGGTGCCCCTGAGTGTATGAATCAATTAGGAACGCCTATTTCAATTTGGAACGGCTCAGCCGTTCTTCACGCTTAGCCCGGCGGGGAATTTCGACTGTGGAACGAGTTTGGAACGGCTTTGATCCAAACGTCGAACTTTTCATGTACCGAACCTAATGCATAAATTATAACAACGTATTTGCAAGCAGGTTTGACCAAAATGAGCATGTTTCTCCTTTTGAATTTAGTTCGGCCGGAATTAAGATTGACGTCTGAATCAATTCAGCCGGTCTTAGTAGTTTTAGTCGGCCTTAATTCGAATTAGCTTCGGCTCATGAAAAGTTCGGCGTCTGAACTGGGCTTAAGAGAGACTGGTCCTGGGATGAAATCAGTTTACTTTTCATTGCTGACATATGAGGTAAAAATCGACTTACCCAAATCAAGAAAAGGAACCCAACAGTAACCAAGACCTTTAAGAGGACTGTATCCAAGTCTTCCATTTAATTGTTCGTACTGAGATAAGCTGAAGCTGTGTCCCAGGGTTTATCCTGCTACGAAAACATACAAAAATGATGACTACCATCGCCATCACCATCATCATCAGCAGCATGATCATCATATTATCATCAACTTCATCATCATGTGATCGTTATGAAAGGTAACAGTACAGATAGTAATACTCGGAATTCGCTGGCAAACTGAAGTTATGCTTTGAGGTAACCGTTAAACGCTGACTTTCCTCCGGCTGGTTTGCTTAAAGACTACTACTAACAGTAAATATAAATATGGTAACCGGTTACAGTCATAACACCGGACGAAGATGTCAAGAGAAAACAAACAGTAAAATGATTCCCCTTAGAATATAGCGTACTGAGTATATCTCACATTTAGAGGACATCAGAATTTTATTTTCTTATCTATATTACATTGACATTTGTCAGACCTCCAGTTTTCAAAATTCATTCTTTTTGCGGACGATACAAATTTTTCAGTGATGAAAATTTATGGTACTAAATTCATAATAACATGAATCAAGAATCAAATAACACTACAATATGGTTTTCCACAAATAAGCTCTTCATAAATGTAAATAAAACTCACCTAATGGTTTTCAAAACAAAGAAGAAAAAGTCATTGAATAAAAGAACAATAAAATTGATGGAAATTGAAGCATAACATACACTGAAAACTAGTATGATTAATATTACTGATGATGATCTTACTTACAAGCATCATATTAATCAGGTGTCATATGCATCTAAGATATCCAAAATGACTGGAATAACTGCAAAAGCAAGGCATTTTGTTTTTTCTCTCAAAAGTGTGATTCTATAATACAATGATATATCCAAAACTTATTATATTCTTATATTACATGGACCAGTACATATCCTACAAGGGTTCAACCTATTTTTTCATGCAAAAAAAGATATTATGAATTATGAAATTCAGTTTGCACAACTTGGAGAAGAATCGAAACTAATTTTTCAATCACTGAAGTTAATGAATATTTGCAAACATAATATATACATCACTGTTGATAACAGCTCTTTTTATGCTTTCATATTTCATTGATAAATTACCCAAAGCATTCATTCAGTATGACCCCCTTCAAAAGAAATGAAAGTTTAACTTAACATATTTATTAATTACACTACACTATTTGCGTCTAACATAAAGTAATTATCCAAGAACAAATTATGGAAATTCTCTCTCAAATACAGAGGAGCACAACCATGGAACAGTCCACCAGAAATTGAAATTCTTAGAACTCAAAAATCAGTTGATTAACAACATTGGGGCTGAGCCATGCTTTTTGCTTGGTTTTGTAACATACGCGTATAGTTGTCGCATTTGGCCGTTGTGGGAAAATGCGAAAGCTAGTATACGCGTATGTTGCAAATGAACCACCCTATATTTCAATTTTGTCTTGTAGTTTTCGAGCGTGAAATTTGATGCCTTTCATTTCCCCTTTCGTTTCTAATTGTATCGCTAGTCTGAAGCTTTGTTCAAAAAGAAAAAAAGGGAAAACCTCCCTAAGCAAAGTATTGCGCAGTTTGATTATGAGAACAGTTTTAAGTTCCCGTTCTGCGCAATTCATATCGCTATTTCAAGTTGGCATATTGTATATATTGGTCTCGTGTTCGGTATTGTTTCCTGTAAGCATCGCATCGCAACTCAACACAACTAAATATATAAAACATCCAAAGAGCACTGATAATGACTAAACGCCAGATCACATTTCCTCTGATTTCATTCATGGTAATTACTCGGGCTTCATTAGATGATTATCAGTTTGCATTTAATTAGCAATACTCATCCATGAAGCGGTGGTACGTTTTCCTTAAGCTCCTGAATATAAATTTAATGTTCCCAGCATGGAGTGTAAAAAATACGTTTCGGTCACTAAGTATTTCAAGTGATCTAAACATTTTTTAATATTGAATTATATCGTACGGTCGCACAAAAGGAGAACTGATATGATAGATAAACTTACCATGAAACAGACAGGATCAAAGCAGCTTCCGTCTTTTCCCTACGAGTATGTGCCGAATTCGAATTTCAAATATATTCACGCACTTCCTAGTCACTATCCCTCGTCGATTTCGCAAAAAAGAGTAACTGCATTGATTAAGACTCTGCAATGGGTTGATTACAGTTTCTTCTGGAGCAAGTGTCCTCATTAAAAAAAATTCTTAAAAGTAATATGTTGTATAACAAGCAACTTAATACTAAGCGTTGAAGAGCCAAAGAATTTTGATTTCCCGGATCAATGGATAAACAAGTATTTCACGGGATCGAGGCTTAATCAATCCGATAATCAAGTATCCACGTCATTCATCTACTAATTTAAATTAAGTCCGTAAAAACTACGTTATGGATAGGATTACGGAGACCGGACATGCTTGGGTAGCTGGAGGAAAACAATCTTTATGAAAATACCACAACTCCTTTGCTTACAGTGCGCATGAACTGCCTTACAAAACGTGAAGATTTTTGTTAAATGATGGGAACCGGAACTCATTGAATCAAAACCGCAGGAAACAGACGGACTTAGCCGTGCGTTTAATTTATTGGCTGAGGAATTTTCATGAAATTTGATGTCGAACACCCGAATTGGCGCTGACCGTATTTGCAAGATGCGAGCCCTTTACCATCGAGCAATATCCCATCGATTCGATGGTATAAGGCACCAAACAATGTTAATCTGGAAGGGGGAAGGCCGGGCAAAGGCCGTAGATTTGGACTCGAAGCATTTTTTTTCCGGGCAAATGCCCTACCCCTCTGACATCATTTTTGGCCAAAAGAGAACAAATTCCCCATCCCTCTAACTAAGAGTAGAGGTCAAATGTGTTTCATTGAAAGTAGCAACATACCAACATTTGGAGAAAACCTCATCCGCTTTAAAATGTTGTCTGTATATAAACAAGCTCACCAGTTTTGTCAACTGACTTTTATTGGAGTGTAACAGAATGCAATCCCGTTCTAAACTTTATGGAGCAGACCTTCAAAATTGATCGCATCATGTTTTCCATTTTCATTAGAAGCTCTACATTTTCGAACTTTTGTTGTGAAATTTCATAAACTGTGAACCCAGTGGTTGCGTTTCGTTTTTTCTCAGCCTTTCAGGTTTTCATTTGCAGAAACTAATTTTTTTAAGGGTCATCGCTTGAATGGATCTTTTCATTGGAATAAGAGTGGTGAGGATAAAAATAGATACCTTGTCAAGTTCTCCTCGGCCATTGTGTCTAAAAAATACCCACAAATACTCGCGGGAGCAATGGCCGTCATCTATTTTGTACCAGGTTGTAAGTGTGTTATGGTTAAGTTCAGGAAGGACGTAACACTCTGCTTAGCTATGACTGCAAGACGGGTTTCGGAACCAAAATATTAGATCCTTTGTCAGTTGCTTAGGTATAGCTGTTAACAAGAGCTCACCAACAGAGATAGTTCCGTAAACTAAACTTGAGTCTGTTCTTTTCATGTAGGATACAGAATCCAGCTAGTGATTGGTTCTTTAAACAAGAAGCTGATTGGATGATTAAATGTCATCTGACCTGTGTTTTGTGAGGATAATTTGATCCTGTTTTCAGTTTCAAAGATGAACATAAAAGCGAGCAAGACTTCAAAAGACTGAAATGCAGTTTCAGTGGGCTATGCATAATATTATTCAATAGTCATGAGAGCTACAATACTACCACACGGTGCCCACACAATCTGTTTCTGTAGCCGATTGTTATTTTATAGTAAATGTACTGGATTTACCGTCTGCTTCACCTATAGCGATATATCGCTAATTATGTATATAAATCAATGATAAATAAACGTTGAATTACCTTGCCTGTGGTGTATAGTCGTCCTTTTGCCTCAAAAGCGGTTTTTTGAGCGATTTTGAGTGAATTTGAGTTCGCCGTTGACTGTTCCATATAATAGAAGGACCTTCTATTATGGGGAGCCCACCCCGCCCTTGGTTTACACTGACCTTCCGGTCTATGAGGCCGACATTTAACTCGAAAATCAGGGGAAAAAATGCATATTAAACTTTGCAAAGAAAAACAAACTATTAAGTTTTTCTCGTTTTTGTTCTTCGAGTAACCATAATCAGTTACTAACGGTAAATGGAGGCTGCAAAATGTGATTGAATACTTCTTATTGTTTTGCCAACAGCGAGTAACACACGGTATGTTTACAAGTGATCAGAATAGCAGCCAATGGCAATCATCCACGTCCGATCATGAAACCGGCTACAGCGAGCTGATGCAAACAGTATACAGAGTGTGAGGACAATCAGAATTAATGTAATTAAAAATTGTTTTTAGCTCCTTCATGTACAAGTTTTTCTCGATCAGTATATGAGCACATCTGTGAAAGGTTTTTTTTTTGGATCCTGCGTGATTGTCCTCCACGAAGTTCATGGAAATATCAGGCCATCTCATTGAAAATCTCTCCTTGTTCCTCCGAGCGATCTCTCAGGCTGCATCAAAGCTCATGCTAAACTGGATTACAAACTTAATTATACACTGCTCTGCTTCTGAGAGTCAATTCTACATACATGTACCTTAGTCTTAGTCATCATCAGAATGCCAACTAATCTGAACCAAATCCTTCCCTTTTCTTGACGAGACAAAGCGTGTGTCACTGGCGCGCTTGTCACGGGTTAAGCAAATCTGTAAAGTAAGATGAAAGTTTCCATAAGAAATTGGAATGCAACTGTCAAATGTAAATCAGCACTTGTTTATCACTCACAAAAAAGCACGGGCACTTATTAGGTGCACCTAGATTTTTTGACAACAAACACCACTTCAGTCCAAACGGGATTCGAGCTACACTCTGCACCGAGGAGCTGCAACCAAACCGAGGCTTTGATTATATGTATTAATTAAGCACGGACTATGAATGATTGGGGAATCCCCTGCCGACAGAATGACGCGTCATTACGTAATCGGCCCATTAGCGTAAACAAACAGAGTGGCACCACTGTTCTGAATGGACTTTCAAATTCCAAAAAGCAGCATTTAAGAAACTAGTTGTCTATTTCTCAGCCGTTTTTACATGCTGAGTAGCAGACTAGGCACTTCCAAGCTACAGGAACTCATCGTGATATGGGGTCCTGATTTCGAACACCAACATTTATTTGCCTTTTTTGTGTGGGTGACCAGTTGCGTGTAATTCAATAATTGGATTGACAAAAAAGAAAAGAAAAAGGAAAGAGTAATTTTATTTTAAAAGCTACCGTAAAGGTGTGTATTGCCTTCTTTCTACAAAGGGAATGTGCAGCGCACGGAAATGACGTTATAACTGAAAGCACGTAGTCCCTTGGTCACGTCACTTGTAACGCAATCAGTTACGAAACTATGCCCGACTGAGCCCGACTCAGTTGAGATTTTTGCACAAAAAAAAAACTCATCAAAAAAGCGTTTATCTGGGAACTTATAAACCTTTGTTCACTTATTATACGACAAGAAGTCTTGATTATGAGATTCAAACGTAGCCTGCGAGCAGTCTCTTATTTTTCTTTGCAAAGTTACTACACGCAAAACCAGCACGCGCCTGATGAGATCAAGAACATTGTAGACAGATTTTAAGAGAAAAGCAGGACTGCAAGCAGTCTACATTCAAACGCTACATGCAGACATTTTCTTGATATACAGTCTGTAGCCCAGCATCCGGCCACTTCAGTTTACCATTGCCGCAATAACTTTCCTTTTTTTCAAAAGGTTGAGTTTGATCGTCCGGGTGAAAGTAGTCCTGAAGAGGACTCTTGTTGTTGACAGTGACTGACGTTTCGACAACCTGTGCGGTAGTCATCTTCAGAGTCAAAGTGAGTTGTAAAATGTAATAACAATAACATCGCGACATAATTGACCAATCAGATCAATAACCAGAGTATAATACCATCAACTGACGTCATACAACTCACTTTGACTCCGAAGATGACTACCGCACAGGTTGTCGAAACGTCAGTCTGAGTCACTGTCAACAACAACAGTCCTATTCAGGACTACGTTCACCCGGACGATCAAACTCAACCTTTTGAAATGAATCCTGGGTTCAAACCTTTCACAGTTTTCCTTTCTTTGTCACAAGAATTCTATAATTTGGCCCAACAATCTATTCAGCCCTGATTCAGTCCTTAATATGACAAAAGACTGGATCATTTTTTTTGCCTTTGTTTCCATCGCGATTCCAAAAATATAAATCGACCTGGGAACCTAGCATCGTGAAATAAAACATACCCAGGAGCGGCTCCTGACATAACAAATGACTGGGATATGGTTTAAGAACGCGAGCGGCTGTTAAATGGTATAGTTCTCACTTCCTTGTCTAGGAGCTTTTTCACTGATTTAAGGAACGCATCCGTGGACAAGCCAAAGCCGCAGTTTGCAAGCTCAATTAGCCCATCTGTAAACCGGTCTGTTTTTCTTCATTTTTGTTAAAAAAGAAACAAACAAACAAACAAACAAACAGGCGAAGGGACCTCAATCCGACGGTCCAAGGTCATTCTCCTATTTAGTCTGATCTGAGTTTAGTGTTGATTTCTTCATCCTCAGTCCCCGCATTTGACCTGCTTTTCTAGCACTAATTTCTCCTTGTTTCGCATGTCTCAATCCCTGTGAAACATTTTTCAGACCGTTGCAACCCCATTCTAGCAGTCATGACAACTGGGGAAAGTATGAGAATTCCCGGTTCAACTCCGACGCTTCCGGTTATATGTAGACTTATGTACTGTCACGCGAAACAAGCCGTTTACACGAAATCAACTCGCCTTTTGCACGCATGAATATAGATATGAAATAAAGTTTATCCGGATAATGTACTCAGCCAGGAACCTATCTGACCCAGCTAATTCATCGATTCTGTACAGCAAAGAAAAAACTGGCCGGATACTGGGCACCTGACAACAATATGTTTCTGGCCTCTGTTATTCCAAACAAATTGAATTTCAAGAAGAATTTATAAATTTTCTGCGAACCTGACTTCCTTAATTATCTTCACTTTAAATATAAAACAGTTTGTTTGAAAATATCACATATTACCAACCCGTTTCTGAACAGCACTACTTTTGCTGCGCAGCAAACAGTATAAATATTAGCTATGAAACGTTTACTCACCTGAACAGAACGGCGCCTTCTGCCACTGTTTCGCAAGCTGTAAACTTTCATCTTAAAGTTGAAATGTTCAGATTTCATTCGAAATACTTCGTTTACCGAGAACTGAAAAGGGCGCCTCAAAAATTGAGTTTTCGTTTTAAGTGGCCGGATACATATTGTAGTGTCGAAATGCTCGATGTAAAATGCGACAGTTTTCAATTCCGGTCGAAGTTATATCTGAAGCTATTTTTAGTGCACACGTTTATCCAATCAAAAACTTCGTTATATTGTTAAATGAGGGCGAAATAAACTCCTCAGAGTCGGGAAAAAAAGTTACTCACATACAAGGACCATACAAAATATTTTGACGAAAACGTATCAAAAGTAACTAGAGGTTTGTGTCACTAATCCTCGAAAGAAATATACCGTTCGATGATGAAATCGAAAATCGATATGGGTTTTACAAGCTGGTCCAGAATACAACATTAGTTACCATTGGTTACATTCATTCCTGTAAAAAAATTGATTATTTTTTACAAATCAGCGAGAAGAATAAAATCCCTGGGATTTTCCCTAAGGTTTCGTCATCTGCTAAAAATAGCAAGGCACTACGATAGCATAAATAAAAGGCTCACTGAAAGTGTTCCTCAATTGAAATAGTCCGGTTTGGCGTACACCATTCATCAGCCGTTAGATCTTCTACCGTAGTAACGTCTGTGAGGAAAGAAAGCCCTCTTGCCTTTATAGGTAAGTTGATATCGCGTCAACTTAATTATGCAGTAACTAAACCGTTCGTAAAATGAAAATGTTGGAAGGTAGAATGGGGGAAAATAGCTGTTAGACCTGTCAGAGCAAGGCACGACAATTTTGACTGTTGACGGCGCTTAAGTGGAACTTTAGTCCAAGACTTTAAGTTTAAGTAAATGTTAACTTCTGTAGTAATTAAAATAACATCAACTGTTCTGTTTTGGGGGGTTGTATTGGCGCCTTTCACTTCAGTTAAAATTTCGAAAATTTTTCAAATATAGGCAAGTTGTAAGGTCTTGTCAGTAATATACAGAGATGGAGTTTTTTGGAGAACATGGGAACTGGTTTTTCCAGATTAGAGATTCTTCAGAAGCCAGAATTCCGTGAAGATCAGCTGAAATAATAAGATTTAAAATAACTCGAAACTTTTTTATGTTAATCTGCATTTTTCACGGTTGAAGGGAAAAAACTTACCTTTTTCGACAGCTGACGGTTAACCCCGTTGAGACCCTCAAGCACGCCTCGCGGAAGGTATCAAGAGTCTGAAGCTGTTCTTTTCTTCTTTTTTCTCTGCGTATTCTAATCAACCAACCACTTCTGCTACAAGTTATACTACCTTCTACTAACCGGGGATTCACTTCCTTCTCTTTTTCTCTCTCTCGCCGCTCTCCTTCATTCTAATGTAATAGTTCTAGTACTTACTTTTATTCAATGAATAAACAGCCCAAAGCAGAGATTTACTAATAAGATCTTGTTTCTATTTCTTCCGCATATTGAGAAGCAGTAGCCTTCATGTCGAAAATCAGGAAAAAGTTAGTCATCGTCGGCGATGGTGCTTGTGGAAAGACTAGCCTTCTGTTTGTGTTTTCTCAAGACGAATTCCCCGGATTTTACACTCCAACCGTTTTCGAGAATTATGTCGCTGACATTGAAGTCAACGGGAAAATGGTGGAGCTTGCCTTATGGGATACAGCCGGACAAGAGGCATATGACAGACTGCGACCACTGTCTTATCCCGACTCTGATGTTATCCTGATGTGCTTTTCCATTGATAGTCCTGATAGTTTGGAGAACATCCCGGAAAAATGGTCTCCTGAAGTAAGACATTTCTGCGGCCATACGATACCAGTCATTTTGGTAGGTAACAAGAAAGATTTGAGACACGACAAAAGTGTGAAGAACGAGTTATCGAAGTTGAAGCAAGCGCCGGTATCAAGCGAAGAGGGGCGTGTGATGTCTGAAAGGATCAAAGCTTATTCTTACATGGAATGTTCTGCTAAAACTAGAGAGGGAGTCAGAGATGTGTTTGAAACGGCCGCGAAGGCTTCCCTGAAAAGAACGCCACGCAGGCCTCAATCATGGCGTAAATGTAGTATATTATAGCTATAAAGACTTAAAAAACTGGTGTATTTAAAACGGCAGCGAAGGCTGCAGTGAAAAAAAAAAACAAAATATACAGAAGAAAATGCAGCATAATACAGGAGAATAACATTTAAAGGTATATTATAGAACTTTGTCATAACTGAATGACCAATTATTACATAGAAATATGTTAACAGCTATACCCTCCCTGAGTTTTCGGGCTCAAGCTTTGTAGTGTAATAAGTACAGCGCAGAAACGTTCTGCATGCAATTGGCCATTGTTTAATTTTTGTCACCTTTATTATTAGTTTAAAACCTCGTAGTGTGGTAGTTTTATATGGTTTCAATCAGAATAAGAAATAGTATTCGGAAGAACTAATTATTTTCTTTTTTACTTTGACTGTTTTTACGCCTGATGATGTAATTAACGAAAAATAATGCTTAAATTCCAGGTAATTTGATATAAATAATAGATAATATAATAGATAATATATCCTCCCCCCTCAACTCCCCCTCCCCTAACAAAAAAAAAATCAGGTTCTTTTTGGAAGTGTCTCATGACCAATCTTAAAGTTAATCTAAAGGATTCAAAACTGTTATCTTTTGAGTCGCTTTGGCCGACCACGTAAGATTTGTTCGCGTTGAAGAGAGAAATTATAGATTTTCGACAAGAACTGCTTGTATGAGATGTTTTATAAAACTGCACATAATCGTGAATGTGATGAATCAGGAGCCCATAATATGATTAAATGGTGATGATATTAAAGGAAATTACTGCAAATAAACGAGGTACTAAATCAGTGACAATAACAATACGTCGTTCTAGAAAATATTCGTTCAGCCATTTCCTGGTTCCATGAAACTCTCACTTTCAAAACAAGGCTAAGTGCGAAACCTTTCTTGTGAAAATGAGTTTTATTTGCATGAGAATAAAAAATCATTTTCACATCAAAATTGTAACTTAGGAGTTAGCCTTTTTGGGCCGACCCTTTGACTTTTGAGTGGTGATTTGGTTTGGGTAAGAATTTCTTTTTCCCAAAACTCTGGTGATAGAATTTTTTCCCGACATACAAGAGTGCAAGATTTTCCCAAAATTGAGAATTATACGCCATGAAAGATTTTTTTTAGTGCTAAGGATTTTTTCGCCTGGTATTTTCTTCCCTCGAAATAAGTCTGCAGAATATTTTATTCTGAAGTAAGTCATACCCGCTTCAAATGCCAAATGGTCGGCCCTTTATCAACCTGTTGCTTTTTTGAAGTTCTTCTCGCCATGTTGCTAAAATACCCCTTCCTGATCCCCCTTGTCGAACGCATTCCCCGAATTAGCAATAATAACTAGGAGTAATCGGAACTTAGGAGAGTGCGTTCGACATGTTTGTTAGCTTTTTTATCATTACATATAGGTGAACAGGTAGCAGTGGGCTAAATACATGTAAGTATAAACAGCAGGTCAAACACTGACCATGATCCTCAAGATATTCTTTTACTCTGTAGGATGTCAATAAAATTGGCTAAAAATTGAGAAACAGAAAATTAGAGTCATCTGAAAAGTTTATTGATTGCGATGTCAAAGCTGCGTGTATCACTAAAACCCTTGTTGCGTGACACTTTAACAGGAATACAACGCACCGTACTACCTAACCACCGGAATTAGTGAGATGAAAAGGTCAACGTTCCAACATTCAACTTCTAGTATAATTTTCAAAAATGGTGACAAACAAAAGCGAATACAACGCTGTGAATAGCTTTTAAAAGCGAAAAGATGTAATTTGTAATATGGTCCATATGAGCTCATGAATTAAAACAAATACGGTGTCCATAACACATTGTTGACATGATATCTACGTATCCCATTGACTTTTTCCTATACATATATATATAACATAATCTATTATGGCTCTTGACATAATTGAACACTGTTAGAAAAACGATAAACAAACCTCAAGTACACAGAGAATCGCCAATATTCGATCTGTGAACATGAACGAGCGTCACAAAATAGATAACATTTCCTGGGAGAGAATAACTGTTTCCAACGCAGCACGAAAGGTCAAGGAAAAGATGAACAACGCTTTTAATACGAAGCGATCAAGAAAAAGATGAAAAACACTTTACGAAGACAAGAACACATGACCAGCAGAGACAAACGTGTGCTAGCGCCTCAAAGCGAGGCACATGTCTATCGACACAAAATCTCGTCAGTTAACTGCACAGGGCACCCAACGGAAAATAGGGGTTGCGTTCTCGTACCTCAAACGCAACTAGTTTTAGATCACGGAAGGGCTCTTCCAATTACATCCTTCGACGTCAAATGCGTGACGACAAGCACTCAAATAAAATGGAAGGCAATTTTTGAAAAAATTGATGACAAAAACGCAAGAGATTTCATCACTTCCTGACGATATTACTTCCTTTCTCATAGACTAACGAAAATTTGACAAACCGGGTGTAACAAAAATTGATTGTTGTTTTCCTGGCTCACAATATAACTTAAGTCATCCATGGCCAGCTCCTTAATCCAGTTTAAATACAGTAACTGTGTTAATAAAAAATTTTATTAGCTCAGCATAATAATTTATCACGTGCCTCGAGCATTCGAGTGAAAAATCAATGACTCTTAGCGTTTCTAACCAATGAGAAGCCTTAAAGGAAGTTAGGCGGAGAAATCTTCCCTGACGTCATAATTAGAAGCCAAAATAAATGCACTGCTCTGATAGAATAAATTGAGGGTATTCAACAGTTGTCTCTCATTCCCAAGTTTGACTACCCAGTCCTCAATCTAACATCGAACATTTCATCCACTCTAGGTACGTCAAAGCAAGCCGGTTACTCAGAGTTGATTTTTACAAAGGTATGTTGTAATTATAAGTGATGACTTCGCCAAAATATACTTTAACCACTTTTCTCTCGCAAATTGATACAGCCTCGTCCGATAAAAAATACTCATACAAACTTTTTTAAGTCAATATGGATAATTAACAACTAGTTTACGCGTCAGGCATGCATTCCTGGTTGAGATCGCGCGGCAAGTTTGTAGAACAACTAACACGCGTAAAAGCTGCTCGAGGCGAAACCGTAAGGGCAGCTCTAACTTCTTCAGCTCTCAGAGAAATTCCCAAGTCCTTCATATCTCGATGAACGCGCAGCTGACGCGAGAAAGAATTGTTTTATAACATTTTCAACGCGGTGGTTTAAAGATCAAAATTCCCTTTGCTAAGCTTCAATGCGTACAAACACGTCATCAGCGTGCACAATATAATGGGAATGTAAAGCACGTTCACAGATTTACAACCTATGCAATAATTAATGCATGCAATATTATTTTTTTGCAAGTGAAACCCAACTTGGTGGTGAAATCTGTGACAGAATACAAAGCTCTGTGAAAGAGAAAATTACTTATTTACTAGAGTTGTTCCTTGATCGGAATCGGCTATTACATTCACTTCAAGTTTCAATCGGCATCCAATACTGCTATTTAGTAAATAGGCGTTTGAAATGGTCTAACTTCTGAATCAGCACGTATTTCACAGTGCTACTCTAGAGAAAATTAGCTGATGGATAGTTCCTCATGATCAATTATTAAACCAAAACTTGATTCAGTTTAGGTATCTGCACCTCTCTCATTACAACTGGTATCTCGAAATAGTAGAGACGCAGATTTTTTTTTATTCTAGATGAATAAAGAGCTACTATTTTATTCAGAAGTGACGAACTTGAAAACCTTAGGTTTTTATGATTCAGCATGGACACACTGTGGTGTGATCTCTCTAAGATTTCAAAAAATTACAAGGTTGAAGAATTCGATGAGGAAGTTCTCCCTTTCAGCTGTCATTATACATTTACTGTAAATTAGTTATCAAGAGAACAACTTAAGTCTAACTGATACGTTTGTCTATTCTCATCAACTTTTGCTGAATATTGTATCGATATTGTAAGGCCGAATTACATATTGATCTCGTTGTGGTTGCAAAGGGTCAAGAGAGACTGAGACGGTGTGTCAGTCAGCACGTCTTTGTGAGAAAGAGTTGAATAGATTGGGCAACTCATGGACCAAGCGTCTTCTTTTCTCACTGTAAAACTGAGGCCTTACCTTGCCTCTCCATTCAGAATAAAAAGCAAACATCGGCTGATCTCAGTGTAATAATTGGACGAGACGATAACCCCTTAAAAAAAGGCTGTAAGTTTTGTTCAATTGTAATGATTGCTTAATCACGCTAAATAAAGTATTCACTTTTCATCCCTTTGCAGATTGACGATTCGTGATGTTAGCCATCAGGAAAAAACTGGTCATTGTAGGTGATGGTGCTTGCGGGAAAACCTGCCTTCTGCTGGTGTTTTCCAAAGATGAATTTCCCGACACGCATGTGCCGACAGTTTTCGAAAACTATGTAGCTGATATGAAAGTTGATGGGAAAATGATAGAGTTAGCGTTATGGGATACAGCCGGACAAGAAGATTACGACAGGTTACGGCCACTGTCTTATCCCGATACTGATGTTGTCCTGATGTGCTTTTCTGTCGATAATTCCGATAGTTTTGAGAACATCCCTGAAAAATGGGCTCCTGAAGTACGACATTTTTGCCCAAACGTACCAATCATTTTGGTCGGTAACAAGAAAGATTTAAGACACGACGACAAGGCGAAGGAAGAGCTATCAAGTAAACCAGCGCGTGTAACGAGCGAAGAGGGATGTCTTATGTGTGAAAGGATCAAAGCCTATGCTTACATAGAATGTTCTGCGAAAACGAGAGAGGGAGTCAGAGATGTGTTTGAAACGGCCGCGAAGGCTGCACTGAAATCTAGGCGTGACAAGCCTCACCACTGGTTTAAATGTCGTATGCTATAAGCAGTAGTCTGGCCAGGATGTATTCGTGAAACGTAGAGCTTAAGAATGGAAGGATGTCTACTGTGAAAACTGTCACGTGATAAAAGAGATTCTTCACCAGATCAGATCAACTGATCGAATTAAACATTTGACTGTTGACTTCTTAGTAACGGATTCGACATTTGATATTTTTTTGTATTTAGACTCAGAGTTTTACTGCAAAGACATGAATAATCTTTAGAAATTAAAATTATTTTGTGAATCATTTCGTTGCTTTTGTTTGGCATTTAAATACTCTAACATGGTTGTTGAAGTGGTAGATTGTACTCTGCAGCCTGTTATTGGTCTCTCTTTTTTTCTCAGTTCTAATAATTCCCTACTTTCACATTAACCATAACACACACTGTTTACCCCACTAAGACAGTAAAAAACGGCAGAAAAAACGTCACCAGTTTAAAAATGAATTTCTCGTTTTTTAAAGTTTCTCGCGTTTATTCCAGCAATTCGCTGAAAATGACAAATGTAGACGAAATTCCCTGGAGTTGATTACTTGGGGACCGCACTCAAGCTAAGAAAGAGAAAGAAAAATTCGTCGTCGCTTCGTTACGTCCTCCATGCCCTGGGGTTAATTCCTTATTTCAGCTATATAGGTATGTGCCGCCCAATCGGGTAGGGTTTTTGTGCCGTTTTGGTCTGAAGTGCCCAAATTTGGTCTGGAATCGGTTATGGTTTCTGAGGGAAGTAGGAGAGTGTATGAGCTCATTCATCGTTTAAATTCCAAATGAGTAAGAAAGAAAGAGACGTATGAGAATTCGAAATGTATTTCAAGAATATTTCTGTTTGCGGTCTAATCTAAGTAATGATAACATAATTTCTGTCTAAAGGCCAGATCTGAAAACGGGTCATGGAAAATTACATTTCTTGGTCTGAAATAGGTCAGGATTTGGAGAACCTGGCGGTACACCCCTCACCAAGAATTCCCAGGAGTACCCCCCGGGCCTCCATGAAACTTGCACCAAACAAATATTATTTGGTTTCCGCCAAATTGTAGCTGAAGGAACGGCCTGATAAAACTTCTTAACCCAGCTTTATTCCGAGAAGTGACTTCTCAAATTCTCCTTGCAATTTGAATACTCTATCCAGCAAATAGATGATGAGAATCGACAAACAGATGAACTCAAGGTTGTTATCTTGATGTAACACCAAATTCTCTAAAATATCTACAAGGAAATGTACAGCCGTTCGAGTTCAGGATTACGTAGCATATCTTGAGAGTTAAAGGGTTAAACTGACCGCAAGGGAAGCACCTCTCTGGAAATTGCCCCTGGCTCTCAAGCGATTTGTCAGGAAAAAAATTAACAAGGAAATAGAGGGTTGTCAACAGTCAGGGTATACTCCGTAATTTTGCTTTTTTTATTTTTCACAGAAAACAATACAGAATTTAGCTGGTAAGAAAATTTATGATTCTGCGCAGGATTTTTTTTTGACACAGGGCTGTGGCATAACTACTGCTTTTGCAGCTCGTCTCAAGAGAACAGTATACTCTCCTGGGAGAGTATACTAGATAGCTTGGTTTCTTCTCGTCTTATCAGTCGAGTCAAATGAATTTGTTCAACTCCCAACATATCCTCTTGTCAGCGTTAAATTTCTCAAGCTAGCGACTGATGAGAAGTTCCATTTCCCTCCCCTCCCCTCCCCCTTACGCTTCGGCTCCGATATCCAGTGGTTTAGCTGTATGTTCCTTTCTTGCTCTGTTCGAAGAGCAATTTTCAGTTCTCATGGCAGTCACTTATGGTAGTTGAACAAGTAAATACTCATGGATGAGACTTGAAAATTGCATATATGTTACTAGTTTTATTTTAAAAACCTGATATTCCACTGGTCGCTTTATCGCCTCCGATGGCTGCGATTGAGACTGAGAAGGAGACTACAACTCTATTAGACTTGATGATTTGTAATGAAATTTTTGCGTTAAATTTTGCAATTGAAAGTAATCTTCAGTCTACTATGAGCAACTTGGACTTCTTCACAGAGGCTATCACATCGATCAAAATATACGAGGCAATACTGCTTCTTCCGCACTCTTAACTGCAGTGCACGTACACATCAAGGAAGCGGAGGTGACGTCACAGATCAGCTGAACTGAGTTACGCAACCCAATTTTAAAAAGTAGCCTCCTCCAGGCTACTTGAAGTGCCAAATAAATAATTGATCATTAGTCTGACCAATAAAAAGCCCAAAGGGAAAGCCTCTGGGACTTTCCCTTCGTCAGTGGGCAATAATAAATGTACCACTCTGATATAATAAATTGGTGGTGGCTAAGAGTTTTCCTGCACTCGCAAGTTTGATTCCTTAGTGGAATATCTTTGATTTTTGGTTCACTCGATGAACAGCCACTGTTAAGGTCGTGCCGGGGACACCTTAGGGTCAGATAGAAATTAGATAGTACAACTAAGAACGCACGTCCATGAGTAACAACTGATCAACAAACATGAAATTATTGAGAAATGTGCAAACTACACACACACGTCTCTTTCTAAAACCCTTTATTTTGTACATAATAAAAAAAACGGCTCGGTTTGGTTAAATTCAGTTCTCGGAGGCAAGCTATCACGAGAAATACAACCTTCACGGATAAAGACTTCCTAGCCTGAATTTCAAACATACCGTCAGAGTCGAAGCGATGTCTGAAATTCAGGCTAAAAGATTTGCCTAGATAGATTTTCATCGATCCACTTGATTTCTAATGAATTTATCGATTTCGATTTTATCTATTAGCTACTCCGGGATTTGACTACACCCGGAACTACACCGACGTTAATTTGAAAGGGCGGCAGATTTAAATTGTTAAAAACTGGGCGCCCACAAACCTGGCCAATATCAGCCATCCGAGGAAGATTTTAAACCTGGTTTTAAAGAACACATTAGATTTTTCAGATTTTTTAAAAAAGTGATAATGTTTGATCCTTTGACAAATTTACTGCTTGCATGTAATCAGTTTTCATTTTTGGATAAACAGATGAATCTTCCGATATAAACCGATGAAATCTGTAAAAATCAAGATAACTCGATAAACGAAACGAGTGTGTCATCGATTTCTACCGATTGATCGACACAATTGATAACAATCAAATCAGATTTACCGATTTTGTCGATTTATGAATTGATAAATCGATACCGATTTTTATCGATTTATTACTCCGGGCTCTTAATCAGAGCCGCAGTGATGAGCGAATGGTACTGGTATATCGGCTGGATGCAGACATTACCAACTGTTATAGGAACGGGCTAGTCATTTATTTGATTGTCACACGCAAAAAACTCCGTTTCGTGCAGTCGCTTGCCCTGGCAGACTTGTTCGTGGGCTTTTTTTTTTCCCAGGGCAGCCTTTCAATTCCAGATTTCATGCAAGTATGCCCTTGTGATCAAAGACATAGCAATGCTTTCCATCTATTCATCTTTTTCTACAGTGCGCCACGGCTCTAAAACGTTATCTCGCCATCTTGAAATCTCCTCAGTATATTTCGATTATAACGCTTATGACTTCTCATCGCGCTCACGGTGTCGATAGTCACCGCACGGCTGTTCCCAATATCAGCTTATTTTCCGCTTCCTTTATTCCTTCCGTTTCTCCCCCACCCCCTTCCCAACCCCTTCCCGCTTTTTTACTCGCCCCATTTTTCGCGCGGTCTTTGACTCTCGTTCCTCGTTCTTTGCTTCAAAACCACACGGAAACGCTTACTACGCAAGCTATTTTACTTCACATACAGTTGACATCTGAATGATGTTACGTACAATCTCGTCCCCAGGAGTGGAAAACGAGAAGACCCTGGGAACGAGGTTGAATAATGTTATGTCGTCTGTTATGTCACGATTTCCAACAGCCGCCATATTGAATGTCAAAATAGGCCGCGTTTTACGACAACATCATTTTTCCTGTTTTCTCGTTCATATTGGAGGATACTACTAAATCTAAATAAGAAAGGAAAACCGAAATGAAATCTGCTAGTTTCATTAAAGTCATAATTAGCAACAGAACGGGAACGTCAGTTGACGACGGCGAGCGCAAATTAAACAACTGGCTTGACCAATGGCAGAGCGGCAAATTGGGCACCGGAAGTCGTGTTTAGTCCTTTCCGCGCGCTTTCCCGTCGTCAACTGACGTTCCTGTCTTGTTGCTAAATCAGCCTAATGTCGTAAAAGAAATCGAGATAATTAAAAGGAGACCAGTAAAAATGCTTTATGCATGATCCAAATTTATGAAGTGTACTTAAAAAAAAAAACAACTTTTTTTGTTCGAAAAATTGTTTTGTCTTTTCTCATTCTCTCTTGCTTTTTATTATCATTTAGAGCAAACGTGCCTGTCAAAAACTGGTTGCATGGAAACGTCTATGAAGGACAATTATTCGTCACGCAAGAGAATGTTCACTTTAATACAACGAAGTTATAGGAAACATGGTATTATTTTTGAGAGAGTGGTCATGAGCGAAGAAATCAGAGCTAGTTAAAGACCAAATTCAAAACCTGAACAAGGAGGTGGAGCAAATAATCCCATGTGTTGATAGATTTAGTAATAGATATTGATTAAAACAGAAAAATCTTCATCTATTTACAACATTTACTTGCAAATTTATACTTAAAAAATAGTTCTTGTAACTGTTTAATAGAAAATGGTGTTTCGTGATCATACCCAGCGCATCCAGTATAATCAAACTTGGATTGAGTTTACCATGATGATAACATGAGCAAACATATGTCTCATTTCATCTCTTTGATCTAGTTGATCTATGCTATCGATGAAAATAAGGCCTCATCTTGTCACGTTCCATATTAACGCTACTGATGTCATCGCTGGCCTAAGTTCAATTGGACTCTCGACAGAAGCAATTAAGTTGTCAATTCAGGCGCTTAAATGTTTTCTTGACAAGCAGATGGTTTTAAAAAGGAAAATCAACGAAACCGAAATCAGAATCAAGAAGCTCTTGTTGCTTCATCTTTGTTGTTAGTATTTTGGTCAAAAA